CGGTTGATGGATGTTATGGCTTCTGTTCCTTCAGTCTCCTTCAGCATCTGCACTAAGGAGCAGCTCATAAAAATTGCATCTCATTACCAGATTAAGATTGTAGATGGAAAATATATGGCCTGCGCAATGTGAGCGCAGGCCAGCAAGGGTGGAAAGGAAGGACAATCGTGCTTGGGCACAGTACAAGGTAACTGAGCCTATGGTGAGTACGCCCTAAGTGCCTGGGCACTCCCTGTCTCCAGCTGCTGCCACAGCTGATCACAAAACTATTAGCCCTGTGCTGGCCTCCCTGTTATTTCTGTTCCCCAGCCACCCCATCTACAATCCCTGGAACGACTCACCTTCCTATCCAGCTGTGTCAGCTGCATCTGCCTGGTTTAGAAGATCCCTACAACTCAAATAATCTAACAAAGTCTGTAACTGGCCCTACACATGAACATGGCCATACGCTTGATGTTGTTTTATCATCAGGTTTTCCTGTCTTAAATGTTGAGCGGATGATTCTTATCTATCTGACCATAAACCTGTGATTTGTAACTAATCTCTCTCTTCTCCGTTACCTAAGGAAGAAATTTTATTATATTTATTAAAAAGTCAGGGGACAGCAGGAAAACCAGAGGTGGGAGACCAGTGGCTGGAGCCACACAGAGATACCAGACAGAGGTGGACAGGTCTCCTCAGGCGGACGACCTGAAGGCTGAACGGTGGGGCCGAACAGACTGATCAGGTCAGGAGAGCAGCCACGAAGCCAACAGTGTGCACGGATCCCCTCATAAGGCTGGTGATGAGGACGACAACTTCTGGAGGCCGGGCAGGAGGCCAGCAGTGAGGGTGGGGACCCTCCAATGGGGACTAGAAACTAGGGCTGAATGATTAATTGCATTTGTGATATTGCGATGTATGTATGTATGTAATAAAACGAGAATTTCTAGTCGCAAAGGCTGCGATTAAACTCGGGTCACATGACACCCAAGAGAAAAGCAGTCTGCGGACGAAGTTGATGCTGCGTCTGCACGTTACGCTGTACCTTGCCTTCTTGTTGTACAGCGGCCTTAAGCTTGACAGAAGCTGACATTACATAAACTTTAGTGTCACAGCAGCCCCCACCCGCAGGTAACTTGGTGGTGGTGGTGATGGGTGAAATCGTCGGGCTATCATCATCTTTGACGGACAGGAAAAATGCACAACAGAATGTGTAGTTAGGTAAGCACATTTTGGCGACACCAGTCAGTTCAGGCCGGGATAACGACCCCACTGAGGTTAAATAGCTGAGTTTCCCTGCCAGTCAGTCAGAACTGAAGAAGTCCTTTGGATGAGGGACGAAACGTCTTCCAGTATCTTCCAGTTGCCCTTGATTTTAACCTTTGTTGGATAACTATGACCTGGATGACAAGAGAATCTTCATAGACATCTGTGAAACAGCGTTTCAAACCAAACCCACATTCCGAAAGAGGCCCACTCTGTCCCAAGTTACTACCCGGTTACAGCCAGTGCGCTGCTCACCAGCATCACTGCTCACCAGCATCGCAGGCTGCGGGGGAGGAGGGGAACTCCGACAACATTGGAGAATTACTAAGCTTGTCTATTAAACATGAGAGGCAACACTTGGTTGTATTTTCGTTCTTTTGAATTGAACCTCAAACTGAGTGTTTTTTGTTTGTTTACTGGGGTATAGAAAGATGGACTGGCATTGAGCGCTTCCAGGAAATTTATTCCAGATTATTTAATGCCATGACTTGACTCAAATTATCTTTCTCATATTATTATAATTTGATATATCTTCTCCACCATTGCTCATAATAATAATTCTACCTAATTCATCATAACACAAGAAAGAACAGTGTAGTTCTAGATCTAATATTATGATATTGATAGATAGTATATACGCTGATTTACTGCTTGTCCGTTTTAAATAATACAGAAGGTAAAGAGATTAAAAATTAATTGCATATTAAATCGCAATGCAATATTGGTAGAAAAAAATCGCAGTTAGATTATTTTCTAAAATCGTTCAGCCCTAGAAACCAAGACCATAGTATGATGACTGGAGTGCAAGACCAGAGACCGGTGACAGGGCAGCAGGATTGGAGTTTGGTGACAGGATGGCAGTGAGTGCACTCACAGTGTACTGCACTTACAGCTGTAAGATGGTTTTAATGATTGTACTGCTATTATTCTGTCATTAAATTTTGTGTAATTTAAATTAAATCAAGAGACATCTGGCTCGTGCTGTACAGAAATTTCTTGGTTTGTGAAACTTAATAAAAAAATAAAATAAACACCGGAAGTAGTATGAAAGGAGACTATTGTTGCTGTATTATTATAATTACTATTGGTATTATTATTATTAGTATCATTATCACTTTTTATTGTTATATTAGACATTATATTGTTAGCTTACAGTTGTGGTTACAGTACTTGCTTTTTTAAAATATAATTCATATTTATGCATCAATATACCAAAGCAAATTCCTTTGTAACCCAATTCTGGGCTTTTTGTTTTTGGTTGATGAAGCCTGTTATATTGGAGCTCTGCGGGCGACCTCTGTGCTGGGGGTATTGCACAATCTTGCAATTGTCATTTCCCCTTAGTGCACAATGGCATTATTTGATTTGAGACATTACCCTGTCGAAATTGCACTAAGAAAGAAAGTAAACAATATGAGCAGTCTTCTGCTAATTAAGTAAGTGTACTAACGGAAGTACATGAATTGAGACACAGCTCAAGTCTCTGGAACTTAGTGGAATGCTAACCAGCTGAGTCTCTAGGGTGCTGGCTAGAAATGTCTCAGGAAAACAGGTTAGCTTGGTCTCTGAGGTCCTGGGCAACAAAGTCTCAGATGCACTAGACAGCGGAATCTTGGTGAAACTAGTGGGGAAAGTCTCTGGGTTACTGGACAGCTAAGAAGTCAGGAGCAGTAGTCTATATCCGAGAAGTTGAGAAAGTCTAGTTTTGTGAGGATTGTTTCTCTGCTGATGATGTTGTTCAGCTGGCTTCATTGGCCCGTGACCTTCAGCATACACTGGGGCAGTTTGCATCTGAGATTAGGGTCGGCACCTCCAAGTCCAGGCCTTGGTACTCTGTTAGAAATGGTGGAATTCAGATATCGCACTGTCTTGTTCACAAGTGAGGGTAAGAATGATGTAATTGTGTCTAGTGGATAAATAGCTGTGTTATGGGCACTGTCCCAAACTGTCCTGAAAAAGAGAAAAAAAAATGAATGAATGAATGAATGAGATTATGGATACCCAAATTTAAATTACTTTCCTCTGCAGGCTGTCTGGACTCTGGGAGGAGCTCAGAGTTGATGCTCTGCTCGGTAGAACTGTAAGGCGTGTGATGGAAATTCTTGTGAGTGATCTACCTCTTATTGAAGAAAAGGGTTTCAGGAAAATAAGAATGTCTTACACAGCACTAAAGCTCGTCCAAGGAGAAAAGGGCATCGGCAGAACAGAGTGTGAACACAATGTAGCACCAAACCAAATCTGAAGATTGCTTCTTGCTCCACAATATTTATCCCTTTGCTATTCCATAGAGCAGGGGTTCAACTATATATCTGTGTGGATGAAGGCTTGCCATAACTACAAATTGACTCCTCAACCATCACTCCAACCAGGGTGGTGAGAAACTTGGGTATCATGCTTGATGACCTGCTGTCTTTTTCAGACAATGTTACTGCTGTCTTGGTTGTGCTGCTTTGCTCTATTCAACATGAGAAAAATCAGGCCCTACCTCACCGAGTATGCCACCCAGCTTCTGGTACAGGCCATGGTTATGTCTTGCTTCGACTATTGCAATGCCCTCCAAGTGGGTCTTTCAGTTTGTGCAGTGAAACTCCTACAAATGGTTCAGAACGCAGCAAAAGGACGCATGTCTCCACTGGCCTCCAGAATCAAATTCAATTCACTAACGCTTGCATAGTGACTACTGGGTCTGCAACCCATCTACCTAAACTTCATAATACAAGCTTAAGTTCCTTCTGGGCCACTTTACTCCTCCAACGAACGCTGCCTGACTCTGCCATCCCTTCACACAAAGCAGTCTCAGTCCCTGTTCTCGACTGACACCACGATGGCGGAATGAGCTAGCACATGCCATCAGAGCAGGGGCGTCCCTCTCTAACAACACTTTCTCTTATAACACCTCTAACCTCTATCACTTCCTGTGCTCTTCTTCTTCTATCCCCTTACAATTCTCTTGTATTGATTGCACTTTTTGTTAACTCTTACTTCTTTCCCTAGGTATTTACCTTATTGCTGTGATATGTGCCATTAGCTCCTACTAGTATTTAGTGCTGCTCTTACTAGTATGTATTCTCAGTTATATATCTTGTACTATATTGATGCTTTGTTGATGCTTGTATGTTGTTCCTCGCTTTGGATGAAAGCATCTGCCAATGAGTAAAAACACTGCGAGAGACGAATTTAAAATTTTTGTTTCTAATTTACTTCATTTAGAACATTAGTGTTTTCAAATACACAAAATAAATTTTTACCACTGTGAAAAGCTTCTAAAAATATGGAAAATCCATAATGATATATAGCCTACTTAATTACAAAATCCTGTCAGACTTTCGCTAAGGAAGTAACTGCAGGATGCAGTTCTGATTGACAGGAAATATTAATCAACCGTTTTTTTCACACAACATTGAACAGAGAAAGTGAAAGGAGTTGGTTACCTGGCTGAGAAGTTTACTGACATTAATAACTGCATTAATATTAAGACATATCTTAAATTTTTTCTAATAAACTAACCTGATCTACCAGTAGAAGGGGAGTCATACAAAGGGATTATTGGAGAAACATGGTGTGAAATGAAGAAGAGAGGAGGGACATCAGCGTCCAACACAGACTGAGAGAGAGAGGAGAGGAGGGACAAACTGAGTGTCAGAAAGAGATAAATCAACATTATGATAAAGTGTTCTGGTCAGAAGCTGCCAGAGCTGCAGCTTTTCTTTTCCTCCTCTCACTGTCTGATGGAGGGTGATGACGGAGCAGAGCTCTGCTTTCCACAACTCCTCAACACCTCCTGCAGGAAGCCGACACTTCCTCAGTCCGAAGCTGTATTTCTGAACACTCTTGTGTTCTCCATCTCTGTGCTCACTGTGGCTCTCAACCTGCTTGTCATCATCTCAGTCTCCCACTTCAGGCAGAGATCAATTTCTCAGCAGTTTTAGAAATATGACAAATGTACTTTTAGTTAGCACAATTGTGTGATGATACTTTCCTCTTTCCCTCCAGGCAGCTCCACACACCCACCAACATCCTCCTCCTCTCTCTGGCTGTCTCAGACTTTCTCGTGGGCCTCATGCTGATGCCGGTAGAAATCCTTAGAAAAACATCCTGCTGGTTTCTTGGTGACCTCATGTGTTCTTTGTATATTTATGTAGCTTACATCACTCCCTCTGCCTCAGTAGGAGACATGGTGCTCATATCAGTTGACCGATATGTTGCTATTTGTGACCCTCTGCATTATACCACCAGAATCACTGTGAGAAAAGTTAAACTCTGTGTTTGTCTGTGTTGGTTCTGTTCTGTTTTCTACTGCAGTCTCTTTGCAAAATATGGCCTGACTCAACCAGACAGGTATAATTCCTGCTACGGAGAGTGTGTGATTGTTATAAGTTATATTGCAGGAGCTGCTGATCTTGTTTTTACTTTTATTGTTCCCATCACTGTCATCGTAGTTCTGTATATGAGAGTGTTTGTAGTGGCTGTGTCTCAGGCTCGTGCCATGCACTCTCAAATTACAGCTGTCACACTCCAAAGTTCAGTGACTCTAACAACAAAGAAATCTGAACTGAAAGCAGCCAGGACTCTTGGTGTTCTTGTAGTTGTGTTCTTAGTATGTTTCTGCCCATATTACTGTGTCTCTTTTGCAGGTGACAATACGCTCAATTCTTCATCTGCATCGTATGGGCTCTCTCTTTTGTATTTACACTCCTGTCTAAACCCTGTGATCTATGCCTTGTTCTACCCCTGGTTTAAAAAAGCTGTTTTTCAAATTGTTACATTTAAGATTCTGCAGCCTGGTTCCTGTGAGGCCAACATACTCTAGAGAGGCTGTGGTGTGACTGAAATGAGACCTGTGAGCATGAGACTAATTCATTTTTTTTTCCAAAAGGGGGAAATATGCTTTCCTGCAGAATTAGGAGAATTACATGTGATTTATGTGTAAATTGAAAATGTGCATCTAAAGAGGTAAAAACACACCTTGTGTGTAATTCTGCTCAATGTTCTTCTCAAGCTTCTAATAACCTGCAAAGTATGTTTACATTGTTTAAGTAATGGTGATTATCATTAGGGATGCACCAAATGTTCGGCCACTGAAATTCATCGGCTGAAAATAGCACTTTTGGTGTTCGGCCTACTAAGTCAAAAAAACAATTAAATTTTACCGAACAATTAGATTACAATTACAGAAAGATCCAAAAATCGCCGTTTGGAGACACTGTTCTGCTGAATTGTCTCCTAGCACATCCACTCCATCTGTGGCTGACTTCTTAGAAAAGTCACTTGTTTATGAGAAGGCGATTAAGCTAGCTGCACCTAATTTGGAGTGCATACGTATTCAAGCCTTTATGGTAAATCCACTGAAGCGGACCAGTGCGAGCTGACAGGTAGGTTAGCGACTTTATCCTGTCAGATTTTTTGGATTATATTCACAGAAAGTATAAAACACATTACATATGTCCATTAAAAGTAAATGGACACATGTAATTTACTTTAAAATGTGAATGTACGTGTTCAATGTTGGGTATTCGGCCAATTTTTTCCATTATATTTGATTTCAGCTTCAGTCAAGAATTTTAATTTCGGTGCATCCCTAATTATGATCATTATTCAGTTATAGTTTGAGTTTGTTACTAATAAAATGTGGCTATATTATGACATTCTGTAGCTTTCATGGGAAGTCTCCTCTCACATTCAGCGTGTGATGAGACAGATGCGTTTTGTTTTGTACTCTTGTGTTTATTCTTTACCTTTGCTGTTGTTATTTTATCATAAGTACCCTGCACTGTTTAACATTTCAACTCAACACAGCAACAGCATTTCTACTGTTATTTATGGCTGTTGTAACCAAACTCTTGCATGCTTTACAGGTATCAAATTCTACTATGTGATTATTAGACTGAAATAAACTGAAGTAAATAAGCATTATGACATGATTTTATTACATGATCATTTATAGAATATGCAGAATATGGAAAGTTAAATAATATTTTACAATATACAGTGTATATGTCCTTTTAATCAAATAAAACAAAGCAAATTCAACAAACTCAAGGAGTTCTTGGATTTAAAGGTCTGATTTGTGTAGTGAAATGTAGGGTTATTAACCTTTTAGGCTAAGGGTAAATACTAGTGTGCAATGAGTGAAAATGCTGTTGAACCACCAAACTGAATGCATACAAATAAACACAGCAATATGAATGAAAAAGCTACCAACAACTCCCAGTGAAAAGAAAAGAGTCAACAAAAAATGCTGCTCTTTGGGGATTGAACCATGAACAACTCTGCTGCCCTCAGTATTTGCTGTATATAACTTTACTGTCAGAAAAAGAATACCTTTCTAACATCAACAATCTCAGTACAGATGTCCCATTGTCCACAGGTTTTATTGATGTTGCAAGGAAATATGAAATTTAAACATACAAAAGGCTTAATCAATACTATGCTAGATTTTAACATGTACAGATATACATACTATACTGGAAATATACAAGGGCAAGGCAAGTTAACGTGTTATTATCACGATTTAGTACGCATTAGTTAATTAACAATTATTTTATCTCACGTTAACGCATTTTTAATTTTTAATTTTTTTTTTTTAAGTGCATTGCTCACTGGCTCTGAATACACTTACAGTCAAAACATGAATCGCAGAAGAGGTGGGATGTTGATCAGCCTGAAAATCACCCACCCAAACAAGCAGTGGAGGACGGCTTTGGCAGACTACGTTGATAAACAAACCAAGACAAGCGAACAGATGCCATGGCCAAGAGGATAGCTAAACACTACATGCTGATTAGTATTGAGGAAGATGTCAATCTTAGGAATGTTCTGATAATCTGAACATATTTGCTTGGCCCTGCAGGTCACTCTGCGCTCCACATGCGATCAGACAGGACGACAAGTGATTCGCGATTAAACAGCAGGCGCTCTATGGATAGTAACCATGGCAACGGCTTGTGTGTGTGCTACACAGCTATAGCCTATTTAACTTAAGTTAAAATTACAGGTTACATAACTTTACCTGATAGGCCTACATCTAGTTTTGCGGAGATGCTTTGTCATGCGAATTCTTCCTGTTGTTGTCCTGATAACTATTTAGTAAACAGTAATAGATTCTGGAAACTTACAAACAGAGAGGATCAGTCACTCTTCCAGTGATATGTGCTGTGTATATATGTGTGTGTGTGTTAACCTGTTGCTCAAAATATGCTCGTTATGGTGTTATAATCGTGGCTCTGGAGATGGTAACTTGTTTTAACAAGCTAGTATAAGCTATATTTTATTGCTACTGTGTAAAAGGGAATACAGCTGGTAAGACACACCTTATTTGTTTTAAGTGTTTGCATACCACATGTTATTGCACTTGTGTATATAGCAGTGCATTTAAATTAAAAGTGCACAATACACTACTTTAGAATTCATTACTCAATTTTGCGCATTAACAATGTGATTAATTGCAAATAATTTTTTAATCGTTGCCCAGCGCAAAAAAATATAGAAAAGTCTGTTTAATATATATTAAATCCTCTTGTTTTACCATGATAAGATGTATGTATGTAGTCTTTATTTAACTACAAATGTAATATATGACATCATATTTTACAGATTATTAATCTATTGTTTGTAATTATTCGCATATAAAACTTACTACAGCCTAGGAACAGTATATTCACTTACTGTAACTATGTAGATTTGTACTATCAAACTTCTGAGATTGTAGAGCACAACTGAACCACCAAGGCCACAAGATGAAAGCAGATGTTACTGGATTAGCTCAGATACAATAAAACAACAGTTTACGATCATTCTCACTTACACTCTCAAAAAAGTCACAAAAAGTACACCTCTCACATTTTTGTAAATATTTGATTGTATCTTTTCATGTGACAACACTGAAGAAAGGATACACAAGCAGTGAGTTTCCAGCTGTAAATTTGCTGTCGCCTTAAAATAACACATTGCACAGCCATTAATGTCTTTAAAGTCAGGGACGTTACTAGGATTGAAAGACAGGGATGTGTATGTAACTTGCGCATGCGAAATCTTTGCACTCACATGGTTTGTTACTGTATTAGAACTACATTTATGTACCTCTGAAGAAGCCAAGATGTTAACAGGTAAAAGTGACAGACATACTCTCTTCTTCCATTTCTCCTCTGTTGAACAAAAGTTACTGTAAAGTTACTTTTTAGACACATAAGCTGGGGGAGAATTCACTTAGGCCAAACTGAGCTCCTATGTAGCCTGTATAACTTAACCCCGTAAGACACATGATTGTAAAATTACAACATCCCTATTAGCTCTCCAAAAAATATCTGCCAATGTGTTCATTCATATTACTTTACTGTAGATAGGTTCAATGAGAGTTTGATTTTGCTCTGTAGTTTGGCTAACATACAAACATACTGTCAGGATTCAGGTAAGTGAAAACAGGAGAGAGCCCAAACACAAGACACTAGAGAGCCAGCGTCAAGTTCAGGGATTTTAATCCAAACAAAACAAGTTATAAAGCTAACAGGTTGCTGTGACTGGTAAATCCAAAATGATTGAACAGGTAATTCCAGCAGGAGGCATAAGATACACCACACTATACAATGACCAGACAGAGACTGAACAGAAACAGCAAACATTTAACACCAGGGACTAATGAGCACGTGGGAGCAACAGAGGTGAGGGGGATCAGGACTAACGAAACAGGCAGGCAGAGAGACAGCAGATGAAAACAAAGAGACAGGCACGCAGAGGGATTACTGGGGAAACAGACAGAACTCATGTTACAAAATATCACAAGAATCTACTCCAGACAAACAGAAAGCCATGTAAACACACAAACACTGACCAACTATAGCAAAGAGATCATAACAGACAGCAAGGCAGGACTGAAACTAGGATAAAACAGAACACCACAGACAAACTCCACATCAAGACATATCAGACTAAGATAAATGAACAGAATAGACAGAATTAGACAGGAACTAAGGCAGGCACAGATCAAAACCAAACTAAACAGGAACAGACTGAACAGCACTAAAGGCACAGAGTAGACTACAAACTAATGGGGAAAACAGACTGAAACTAGAAACACATACCAAACTGACATCAAACAGGCAATGGTAAACAACTTTCTGACTAACACTGGGCATACTAAACACAAGACGATAGACAGAGCTGAAACCCAAAACACACACTAAAGAACAGATAAAGAACAGACTAAAATAGCAAAACTGACTAGAACAGGGCAGACAGGCACACAGTGTGATACAAACATACAGAAGCTATTGATAAGGATCCTGTTTAAAGTGGCTTCTGTCTGATGGTGGAAGGAGTTAGAGTTACTTAGATTTGGAGTTACTATATGTATGTATCCATGTATGCTTTTATTCTATTAAAATCTGATAAACCTGTTGTAAAGAGTGTGAAAAGATGGACCAAGATGGAACAAGCGTGCTTTGACTGAACTGACTGGAGTGTTTTTGAGGCTGCAGCCACTGACCTGGATGAACTCACTGACACTGAGACATCTTACATCAGATTTTGTGAAGACATGTGTGTGCTGACTAAAACCTTCCGCACATTCAACAACCAAAAACCCTGGTTCACAGCGAAACTCAGGCAGATTCTTCAGACCAAAGAGGAGGCCTTCAGAAGTAGAGACACAGATCTGTACAACCAGGCCAGGAACACACTGACTAAAGAGATTAAAGCAGCAAAGAGAACAGCTTCACAGCCAGCAACCCTGCGTCAGTGTGGATAGGCCTGCAGACACTCACTAACTACAGGAGACCATCCCCCAATACTGCTGGTACTCAACAACTGGCTGAC